CATAATGGGTACAAATTCAAAAGCAATACGTTAGACCACTTTTGTTGTTTAGATAATAAGTGGACATGTTAAAAATTAAAAAATTACGAGAAGACTGAAGAATTTTTATCACGCTTTCAGATTCGGAAAACTTAGCCATACGGACTACACAAAAAATATTCATAAATAAAAATTGATCATTACTATGATCACCGTAACGGAGGGGAACAAAGAGGATCATCTAGCACATATTGCTTGATATCACAAGGCAGTGATGCACACTAAAATGTTATCCATCCATCCATCCCTGTGGCGCTACAGCCCAGGGAGGACTCTGGCCTGCTTCAACACATCCTTTCATTCAGATCTTTCCTGGGCCTTTCGTCTCTACGCCCTAACCCCAAGCTGTTGCAGATCTGCTTCCACATCATCAATCCATCGCTTTCGGGGTCTGCCTTTGGGTCGCCTGCCTTTTGGTTTTTGCCTGTATACGATTTTCGCTCATCTGTTCTCTGACATTCTTTCAATGTGACCTGCCCAACATAGTCTGTTCTTTTTTTATTTTGGTCACTATTGGTGGGTCTTCAGACAATTGGTTAGTCCGTGTCCTAGACCCTGTTTCATCCTGTACGGCACCATAGATTTTCCTAAGAATTTTTCGTTCCCAAGAATTAAGTAAATTTTCAGATGTCTTAGTCAGTGACCAGGTCTCACTTGCATACATTGCTGCTGGTCTTATTATGGTTTTGTATATTATTTTCTTAGTTTTTCTTGATATTGTTTTGCTCTTAAGTAAATGAGTTGGTGGATTGGTATGTTGTATTCATGGCATTTTTCTAGTATACATCTTAGTGTGAAGATGTGATCGGTTGTAAACTTATTTGGCCTGAAACCACATTGATAGTCACCTAAGATTTCTTCTGAATATTTTCCAAATCTCTTAGTTATAAGCTTAGACAGGATCTTATAAGTCACATTTAGTAGAGAGATTCCTCTGTAATTACAGCACTTTAGCTTGGATCCTTTTTTGTTTATTGGGGTTATAAGAGCCTTTTCCATTCTGTTGGTATTACTTCTTCTTCCCGAATTCTTATATTAGTCTGTGTATTTGGGAATGTATGTCTTTTCTTCCATATTTAATTAGTTCTGCTGTGATTTGGTCATTTCCTGGTGCTTTGTAATTCTTCATGGTCCTAATTATTTCTGACGTTTCAATGAGTATTAGTGGGTTCACTAAGGGGTCATGTTCTCCCTATGGCAGTAAATATTTTCCATTGTCTCCATCTTCTGTGGTATTTAGGATCTCCTCAAAGTATTCAGCCCATCTCTCAATTACCCTGCTGTTTTCTGTAATAAGGGGACCATCTTTGTTCTCACACATGTGTGATCTAGCTTGAAATCCGTTCTTTTCATCTTTAATTTTCATATACATTCCTCTCATGTCTCCCTACTTTGCTAGTTCCTCTGTTTGAGTAATCTTGGACTTTTCCCATTCCCGTTTTTTTTTTTTTACAACTTTTGTGGCCCTTCTTCTTGCTTCATTGTATTGCTGTCTGGTGTTTCTGGTTTCTCTCTGTAGGATTATCATTCGAGCATTGTTTTTCTCTTCTATAGTTTGTCTGCATTCATCATCATACCACCCCATTTTCTCGTTCTTCTGCTTAAATCCAACTACCTCTTCTGCTGTTCTTTTGTTAGCATGCTTTATTATTTCCCAATGTTCATTTATGTTATTTTCACTGTCCTTTTCTAATGTTGTTAATTGCGTTTGGAGTGCCATTCTATACGTTTCTGCCACAAGTAGATCCTTGGTGAGTTTTTGGTAATTGTGTATGGTACTTATTCTTTGTCTTAAGTTTAGCTTTTACTAGAAGGTGATCTGAGTCAGCATTAGCTCTTCTGAAACTTCTTACATCTAGACCTAGTGTGTCCGATCCATGTCTCGTATCCATGAGTATATGATCTATTTGATTCTGGGTGTTGCCATCAGGTGAGATCCAGGTAACCTTGTGAATATTCTTATATTGGAATTTTGTGCTGCAGATAGACATTTCTTTTCCTGATGCAAAATCCACCAATATTATGCCATTATTGTTGGTCTTTTCATGTCAGCTTTCTTTGCCAATTGTTGGTCTGAATGCTGGTTCCTTTCCAATTTTTGCATTGAAATCTCCTAGGACTATTTTGATGTCATGCTTTGGTGCTTCATCATAACTTCTTTCCAGTCCATCATAGAAGGCTTCTTTTGTGTTATCATCTGCATCTTCAGTAGGGGCATGAACATTGATAAATGATATGTTGAAGAATTTTCCTTTCAAACGTAGTGAGCAGAGTCTATCACTTACAGGTTTAAATCCAATGACATTACCTACCATTTTCTTTTTAACAGCAAAACTTGTACCTAAGTTGTTAGTGCTTCCACCACTATCAAATATAGTATACTCCTTGGTTCTAAGAATGTCCGAGTCTTTCCACCTGATTTCCTGTAGAACTACAAGATGGAATCCTATATTTCTTTAACACTTCAGTAAGTTGGGCTAGCGCACCTGCTCTATAAAGGCTTAGCACGTTCCATGTCGCAAAACAAAAATCATGTCCTTTTCCAGGCCTAGGCCGTTTCCCGTTGAGATCTGTCCGGGTTTTCTTGTGTGTAGAAGCTTTCGTAACAGTATTTTTTTATATGACAGAGCTGTTAGCCCTGTGCGTAGCCATCGGGGGGGGGGGGGCTGCCCCTTTCAGCTCTCTGGATAACTGCCTTTATTTTCGGGTAAGGTGCCCTAGCCTTTGTGGATCCCTCCACTTCCTGCAAGGCATTAGGTTTGATTTTGGTCCATCCCGGGTATTTTATTTCCCCTGTACCCACCATATCTGGAGGGCATTCCCCTATACACCACCTGGGGAGGCGCTCGATGTGAGATCAAAAACTTCACACAAGACTAAAATGTTATAAGATATTTTAATTAAACATACTGGAGTATTTTATTAAATGTCTATAAACAACTGACTGGAGCGCTCATCATACTACTGTTAGAACCGTGAAAGAACGATGTGATGTTTGACGGTGATTGTAGCTCTTTGCTACTGCTATTAAAATACAGACACTAGATGGCAGCTAAAATAGCCTTCCCTAATGCTATTAAAGCATGGGATGGGTTCCATTAGGAGCTCTTCAAAGTCAACTAAGGAAATCATGTTCAGTCGGTTTTAAATATTTTTCTAATTTATAATCTTAAATTTTAAACTATGCAATAACTTATGATGAAGTGTCAGAATCAACGAAATTTAAAAAATAGAATCGACACTCATTTGAACGTTAAGTAACAACTATCAAAGAATGAAGGTAATTAGCTCTCACTGTATCCTGGCGCAACAAGAACTAAACAATACGTTTTATTGGGAAGATTTGAGGGTTAAGCTGAGGGTGTGACACCCTTAAATTACGTCACCAGGTGATATGGTATGTTCTACATTGAATTTCTTTATTTAAAAAAAAGTTTAAAAAAAGGAGAATGCCTAAATTAGAACGTTTTTTTTTTAAAAATCCCTTTCACATTATTGTGTCAAAAATGATTTGAGGCCAAGCATTTCAAACCTAATAATTTTGATGACAGAAGTTATAAAAGGCTCATTAAACTAACTTTCTTTTGAAAAGGCGGTAATGATTCTGTTAATGTATTTCTGTGTATCTCTATTGAAGAATAACGACAACATACAATGCTTTCAATGTATAATATCTGTGTTGTGTTCACATAGTCTTTCTCTTTCCGGCCAGGCATTCATGTCACTAAAATCCTTAAAATATTTATGAGTTTTTTTCTTTTGAAATGACAGACATGTTTACATTTTTTTCGTCTTGAAAAAAAAATTCTGGTACAGACTATACATTTTAAGTAAAAGTTGATAAAAACTAAGCATTTTTAACAGTATTACTTAGCTCAGCTACTTAATGTAATTGTGGTCGGCTTCTACTTCTTTGTATTTCAGCCGATCATATTTTTTTTTCAACAATTGTTTTACTTATTTAATGTTTGGAGCTCTATCGCTAAATTGAAAGCGTGAAAATCTGTATCAAATCATGTTATGTACACCTCAACACTGGCTCAAGTTACAAATTGAGTAATCTTTCTAATAATCAATGGCAAAATTATAGCCTAAATACAAATATTAATGATTTTTAAAGGGATTTTAAAGGGATCTTACAAACATTGCACAAGTAAACAGACACTGAACAATTTTTTAAAATCAGTGAATTTACAAGAAAAACAACAAAATGTAAAAACAAAATAAACAAAGAGATAGAGCTCAAGTGATGTGAAAACAAAATAAACAAAGAGATAGAGCTCAAGTGATGTGAAAACAAAATAAACAAAGAGATAGAGCTCAAGTGATGTGAAAACAAAATAAACAAAGAGATAGAGCTCAAGTGATGTGAAAACAAATTGATATGAGAGTCTCTTTCTAAGAAAACAAAGAATAATTAGATAAAAGAATTAATAGAGCGCATATTTAAGTTTAGAAATAGGTTTTTCCAATTTATTGTAAAACAATAACTAGGGAAGCTCCAATCCAATGACGTTGGACTAATTTCATCATTGTGGACACAAAGAAAGAGAGTCGAATACAATAAAGTCAGTATGTAACAGCTTACAACTTAATGTATTCTCAATGTTCACTCCATCGAAAATAACAAAGCGCAGACAACCGCCAGATGTTGGCCACATGAATAGAGACCTGACGGCCTCGAGGACTCACGCCGAAAGACAAATTTGTGTAAAGCAAAGACTCACAAAGAATATCAGTTTTCATGTCATCCAATACACACTCTCGACACAACGCTCGAATAATGATATCAGACACATACATCAGACACAGACATAAATCAGACACATACATACGAGACAGATTTCAGACTTAGACAAAGACAGGAACATATAAAGTGATGAGCATTTAGATTACAGTGGTTACCAAATATTTTGTCTCGTAGACCTCTTGCCATAGTTTCTAATTATCGGTAGACTCCTTGATTTTTACGAAACTTCTTCAACTTTCAATGTGTTTTGTCAATGATTACATTGATGAGATTCAAATTTAAAACGAAGCGAAATAAAATCTGATATCTTTACATGAATGGACTAAAGAAAAATTAACACCTACAAGTGGACATCTTTGATAATAAATATTCAATATTGGAATTCAATTTATTTAAGTTTAATAATATATATTGTTGATTAGAAGATGTTTGACTTTTCTAAAGTTTGAAACAGGAAAATTTCCTCCCGTCCAACATGTTTTATGAATTTAATTCTCACGAGAAATATTGAAAAATTATGACTTCGTTTGTATCAACTTTAAGATTTCAACTTACAGCTGCATGTTAATCTCATTAAGTTAATGAAACGAGTCTGTTAAATAGACTATAGCCGATTTCCTCTTCAACTAATATTTAATTTTGTTTTAAAATTGATATTTAGCATTCCAAGAACTCAGAAAAATAGAAAAAAATAAAAGTCAAACATAAGCCTTTCGACAACTATGCTTCAGTGTAAAGGAGCAATTAATCAAAGATTCAGGCAAAGAGCAGATCTTTATTGATTTTTTGATTCATAACAAAACAAACATTTGATAATAATGCATCATTACCAGGCAAGGTTAATCAGTCCAGCTTTATCTTAGAATTATGTCATTTGCAAATAATTACATAAGAACTTTTCAGTGTCCTCATTTGCATTATTGTGTAAAAATGGGTTTTAAAACCTCTTCAATGGCTTTCAAAGTCTAATTTTCGCATATAGTGTGTATCTTCCTGGAGTTTAATATAGGCCCAATTAAAAGATTGTGTAATACACTCTTAAGACTTTTTCTATGTGATATTGAAAAGAACATTTTGTCCCCTGAGCGTCTTTCTTAACTTTATATAAGTGTGCCCAAAATATTTTCGAATCTTATTCTATTTTATCATGTTCGCATTGTCTCAAATGATGTTTCCATTTACACTATTTCATAGCGACTTCAAACTTTATTGTTTAAAAAGCACATAGCCAACAGCTTTTTCGACAAGGACGGAATGAAGCCAAATTTCTAAGAAGTTTCTTGCTGTCTACAGTTCTTTTTAGACTCGGCCATGTACAAGATTTATTTCACGTGGACACAAATAAGATATTTAAAATAAGATATCCAAATTTATAGATAGAACAAAAATCATTTGACTTACAGGGTTAAAATTTCAAGGATTAAACCAAGGTACAAATTATATATGTGTGTAGGATATAATCCCATTAATGATCAAGAATGTAAAATGAAATCTGAAGTCTCGACCTGCCTTAATATGTTCCACTATCGTAGACCCCCATTTACATCTCATAGACCCCCAATTTATTTTTTCAGTTTCTTAGAGCCCTTGAAAGTCGTCGCAGACCGCTGGGGGGTCTTTATAGACAACTTTGGGAATCACTGATTTAGAAGATAAAACACAACAGGTCGCGATAGACTGCTCACCCCAGCCCTCCACCAGGTGGGCTCTCTGAACAAAGATATACGGGCAGATATAAAGATTTTCAGGGGGAAAGATGGAAATTAATTGTTTCTCATAAAACTTGTGATTCACGGCCACACCTTTTATTAATGGAGAGTTTTGCCGCTCACTTGAAAGCAGATCGATTGTCGCGCTATCTGTTCCGAGGTGAGGCTTGCTCAGCCAAGTGTATCCTTCTGGTGTCAAGTTGATTTATTCACACTTATGTTTCCCCGAGAGTCAACATATTGAACACACATTAAAAGTTGTCTATATAAAGTATAGATGTTCATATCGCCATTTACATTTCATTTTGGATTATTTGGTGTAACATCTAACTAATATCGCCACGTACATTTCGCTTTGGATTATTTGTTGAAACACTAATATTGTAGTGTGCATTTCGCTTTGGAATTATTTGGTAAAACATCTTACTAGTCTATCAGCTGATAATAAAGAGGTGAGCTATGGAAGTTTTATAAAAGTTTTAGATTAATTTGTCTAAGAGTTATGTACTTGCTAAAACATTTTATATACGACGATGAATGTGATTTTAGTTTAATTTTAGAATCTACTGCCGATATTGTTTAATAAATCTACTTTATATTTTAAATAATTAAGAAAAGAATCTATTGTTGATATTGTTTAATAAATCTAGTTTATATTTTAATTAATTAATAAAAGAATCTATTGCCGATATTTGTTAATAAATCTAGTATATATTTAAATTTATTAATAAAAGAATCTATTGCCGATATTTGTTAATAAATCTAGTATATATTTAAATTTATTAATTAAAGAATCTATAGCCGATATTTCTAACAAATCTAGTTTATATTGTAAATTAATTAATACACGTATTCATTTTGTGCTCACTATTAGCAGTATTAAATTGTCGATTTTACAGATTAAAATCTTTTATTCTGTGAAGAATTTCACTTCACATTTTTTTTCCCTTCAAGTTTGTTCCAAAATGAGCATCATTACACTCCTGGTGATTTGTTTACTGGGCTCTGTGGGGCTGGCCATTCTCTTTATCTACGCCTGCATGCAATACTGCAAATGTCAAAACCCAATCTGGCATTGCTGCCCATGTTACACAAAGCCTAGAAGAGTAAGTCCTTTGGAATATTCTTTAGTTAAACTAACAATAATATGTAATTGAAAACTATTATCTTCCATGGGTGGTGTCAGGTTTATTTTAATTTAAATTGCTTTTAATACATATGTTTTTTTCGTTTTTTTTAAGGTCTCACTATCATGAATGTCCACCTCTTACTCCTAACCTAAGCACATGTCATATAGTATAGGATGAAACTTATACAGGACACACAATAAGTTTCGTAATATTTATTTATCCACTTGTCAAGTCTCACATTCGAGAAGACAGTACCAATACCATAATCTTCATTCAGTCATTCTATTCATTTCTCACAGTTTCGTGGATGTAAAACTTTTGTTTGCAGCTAAAATGTATTTTTTAAAAATCTCAGTTATTTTATTGTTTTATTTGTGTATATATTTGTCTATACATTCAACAGTCAATTGATCCAGAGGACACGATTAGCTGAATCTCTCTTGACTAGATCTTTAATAAACTTTCTATTATATGCCATCCAAGTCGTCTACATAGTTAAATCAGAGAAGCTAACATTAAAATATTTGGTTACAATTAAATCTACCTCAATAACGCGACAATATTTTTTCTAAATGTCTAACCAATTGTAATAGTCATAATGAAAAAAACAACTATTAAATAAATAAATAAATAGATACATAAATAAATGCATAAATTAATAGATATATGAAAAAATTAAATAAAAAGATTTATATGTGACGAGACTTTTAATTAGTTAATTTGTGGCTTGTTTATTTAAGTCTAGGGGAAATTTTATTAATTTATCCCGCGCACATATAAGATTTTGTACAGGCACACCGCAACTAACAGTAAGAACAGACCAATATTATAAGTTCATAAATAAAATAATTTAATAAATGAAAGTTTACAAAAGATAAATGATCAAATAAAATTATTACCAAGAAATGAAATGAAGATGTTAATATCTAACATAATTGCTCATCATAAATTGCTAATTGGTGAGTGATTGGAACAGAAGAGTGTTCCTATGTTTGGCTACTTATATTCTTAGCTGCTAGCCCGTGGGTCGTCTTCTGGTGGTCGTAGGACTGGCACTCAGAAGGATAAGTCATCCGGCTCTGTCTTTGGACGTCGGCTCGGGATATTCTCTATGCTGTAGGCGAGCTGGCAGTGGACAGTTTGGGCCTGGTACTGGGTAGATGATACTGGGCAGTATAAGGCACTGTGTACACTGGGCAATATTTTAAGGCCAAGGACAGTAGGCAATGCCTTCTTGCTAACAGGTATGTAATTGGGGGGGGGGGGTATCTGGTGTGGTCTGCTCCGGTTACAGCTTCGGGTGGAGATCTGGTAGCTATAGCAGTCGGATGTAGCAATCGTGTATAGCAACCAGGCTGGGGATAATACAGACAATTAGGAACCTCCTAAAGGCATTGAGTAGGGATTCCCATATGCCTTGCAATCAATCAGATGTTGGCATTGGTATCAATCCCAATAAGGCATTTAGACAATTAAGTATAAAATCTTGTAGCATGCATATTACTCAATAACAAACAAAATACAAATAAAATAACCACAATAAACTTGTTATCATACAATGTAGGATGATATTAGTCAAGATTCATCTATTGAATACAATTACGTCGAAAAGTAATCAAACATAGTAAAATGGGGAATGAGCATAGTATAGGATAAGATGAAAATAAATTACTAGGGATCTGGCTACAGTAGTAAGGGTTTGATATGATTAATCAAATCATATTCATCCAAGGAACCATAAGTTCACAAGGATGTGAGACATGATATGCATAAGGGATATAATAGGAATGTAAATTAATTACTTTCTCATGTGCTCTGTAAGTTTAGAGCACTGTGATCTAAGTTCTTTGAGAGTATTTAGATTTACGAAAGGTTATTGTTTACATCAATCACTAAGATACAGGAATGGATGAAACATAACAAACAAATCAAATACAATAACTATGGTTTCAAAGGTAGACAACCATAGCGGCATTAGTAATATTATATGAAGATATAGCATCGACATAAGATAGTACAATGTACATACATAATAAAGTCATGATGTAATGACGGGGAACGTGGTTGTGTACTAATGTGTACTCACAAATTCCTATAAGATAAAATAAGTGTAGTAAAATATTTACACTCGCCAGTTTGTCCCTAATGAAACCTCACTAATAAACTTTCTAACAGAGGAGACTGTATGAATCCTAGCGGGCCTAACTTAGGTCTCTCTCTATATATAGTTGGGGCATTTTGTTTAACGGGTGGGGAAGATAGCTAGGTGATTTTCTCACATGTATCTATGTACTGGACATGTCAGGCGTCATGTCCGATTTATGGCCTGTACCGTGAGAGTAGGGACTAAGGCGAATATGTATCTGTCCAGCCCGAGTGCAATGCTATTATTAGAGCGGTGCGTATCCTGCGGGGGGGGGGGGGGAGAAATAGGTGTGAAAGTTATTAGGCCGCTGCGTGTAGCGCTGGTGCCGCGACCCCGGAGGATATTCCAGCTACCCGTCGCCTCAGCGTGGCCCTCCGGTGGAAACGTCCAGGGGTGGAACTGGATAGGCAAAGAACGAGTAGCGAACCAGGCCTTAGGGTTAGGGTGCTGGGTGCCCTCAGACAGGACATGGGGTGAAGAATCCCAATGTCCAGGCCTGGTGGTTTGATAAAAGCCTTTCTAACTACCAACGGGATGAACGGCGCTGATTCCCTACTGGACTTCATCGAAGGTGCCGCGACTATTGTGTGCTGGTCACCTGTACAGCGGTCAGAAATTAAAAGTTAGCCCTAGAGAAGCTAGTTAATGTTTTACGTCGAGATTCGTTCCTTGAGAAATAGTGCGATGGGAGATAAATCCTACAAGAAATTAGTTATGGCTGGACAAAAAGATAATTGTTTAAAGTTAAAAATAAAAGTTTCCCACGATTGGCTAGGAAAAACTCAAATGAATTTTGTATGGAAGTTTCGTATCGTCACAATATTGATAAATAAATAAAACTTAAAAATAGTTTGGTGAAGAATTTTGCCTGTGTTCTTTTAAAGCCTAGTAGATTTCATGTCTAGAATGTGACATTCACTATTAAATACAAGCTAATTTAGAGTGTCAGCATTCTACACTCCCATGTTAATAATCTTCATTTCATTTCATGACTTACCTGGTCATATACATTTCTTGTGTTTCTATTTCCTTTTGTTCAGGTACCGAGACTGAGATACAGGTTCAGGGGCAGCCAAAACAATGGCACACAATGTCCTCATGGAATGTTCGATAGAAGAGATTGCAGAGAATGTACCCGCATTATTCAGCATCAACTGGCGCCAATTTTCCCGCCGCCCCTACTAGAGATACCTCATTACCGGCGCCCTGTTATTGTACCCGAAAACATCCGCTGGCTGGAGCAGCACCAACGTGAGGAATGGGGCTACCTGCACAACGTTTTGCCCCAGAGTACGCCACTCACCCGTGGCGTTCAAGAAAGTCAACCTGTAGATGAATCTTCATTTAGACCTAGTTTTGCTCTTGAGACCGGTGACCAGGAGGACCATGTCTTATTCACACCTCTGTCGTATCGTGAAGATTATGGTGAAGATTATGGTGAAGATTATAGTGAAGATTATAGTGAAGATGATGGAGAAGATTATGCTGAAGATTATGGTGAAGATTATGGTGAAGAGGATGATGTTTCTCTCAACGACTTCAATGTAAAGATTAAATACAATCGCCCCTCTGAGTCTTAACATTGTATTCTGAATGGGAGAACCAAAGCTTCCACTGGATACTTCCACTTCACTCTACTACTTGGTTCACTTCATTCTACCACTTTAATAGTATCACTTGATTTACATTTCATTCTACCACTTTATAGTATCACTTGATTTACATTTCATTCTACCACTTTATAGTATCACTTGAATTGTTCACTTCATTCTACCACTTTAAAGTATCACTTGATTTGTTCACTTCATTCTACCACTTTAATAGTATCACTTTATTTACATTTCATTCTGCCACTTTATAGTATCACTTGATTTGTTCACTTCATTCTACAACTTTAATAGTATCACTTGATTTACATTTCATTCAACCACTTTATAGTATCACTTGATTCTTACATTTCATTCTACCGTTTTATAGTATCACTTGATCTACATTTCAATCTACCACTTTATAGTATCACTTGATTTGTACATTTCATTCTACCGTTTTATAGTATCACTTGATTTACATTTCATTCTACCACTTTATAGTATCACTTGATTTGTACACTTCACATTTGCACTTCATATTGATTCTTTATTTGATTATTTCATATATTCATCTCATTACATTACTTCATATGTTCACTTCATATTTGTGCTTTCTATTTTCACTTTACATATTTACTTCATATATTAACGTCATATTTTCAATAAGTACATTACCTTTACATTTAAACCTTTTATTTTAAATTTATATTGAACTTAAGATTTGTGCTTTACATGTCAACTTAAGATTTGTGCTTTACATTTCAACTTAAGATTTATTCTTTACATTTCAATATAAGATTTTGTGCTTTACATTTCAACTTCGTTTTTTGTGCTTTGCGTTTCAGTTTTAATATTGTCCTTTACATTTCAACTTAAGATTTGTGCTTTACATTTCAGTTTTAATATTATGCTTTACATTTCAACTTAAGATTTGTGCTTTACATTTCAGTTTTAATGTTGTGCTTTACATTTCAACTTAAGATTTGTGCTTTACATTTCAGTTTTAATATTGTGCTTTACATTTCAACTTAAGATTTGTGCTTTACATTTCAACTTCATTTTTTGTGCTTTACATTTCAACTTCTTTTTTGTGCTTTACATTTCAGCTTTAATATTGTCCTTTACATTTCCCTTTAAGATTTGTGCTTTACATTTCAACTTAATATTGTGTTTTATATTTTAACTTAATATTTTAACTACAAATTGCAAGTTACTTAGTTATTTTCACTTCATTTATTCACTTCATATTATCAATTCATATTTTTGCTTACTTTTATATTTGATAAGCTCATACTATAACTTAGTATAATGTCCTAACTTCCTAGTTTCAATTGTTGTTTTGTTACTCACTTCAGACTTTCATTGCCTATTTTAACTTTATATTTGACTTCATTGAATCACTTCAGTTTAGGCTAAGCCAGGGGTGGGCAACCTTTTTCTATCGATGGCCGCATTAAAAAAAATTTCAGGATTGGGGGGCCGCACATATATATATATATATGAAACTAAAATTCTGTTATTGCCTTTTTACACAACAATGTGGGAGTACTATTGTAATTAATGTAAAATGTTTAATTTTTCACTCGGGCATAAGGTAACGGAACTGTGGTGGAACTAGCTAACTAGTTGTTATCCTTGTGACTGCTGTCAAATTAAGTCTGTCAGCATCGAGTTAGTCTAGCACTTTTTTTTTTTCAAACAAAAAAGGCTTGTTCACGCTTTATGTGAACCCAAATAATGTAAAAATTTAGCATCAAGTTTTTTTAAAGTGTGGAAATACAGTTTCTGGCACCCATAAAACGTCTGTGGAAGGTCGTAATTTGCTTTGAAGTATTTCGAATCAGCTTCTGTACTAAATGGTGAAGTAAGGATATTGAAAACTGGTTTCAATATCTTGTCTTAAAATTTGCATTGCAAATTAAACAAGTCTTGTAGTTTTCAACCATTTTACAAGAAACCTTTCAGAAAAGGAAAATGATTAAATCTGTTTTCACTTGCTTGCCTAGAGAAATAGAAAAGTTTTCTTTGGAAAGATGTACATACATTTTATGTGCGAGCAACCCATTTTAATATTCTCAAAGAAAAACTTGAAGTCTATCTTCACTATTCATTAGAAATATTACTAACAAAGTCACAGTCTATGTCCCTTAAAAAGCATAACAATGTCTTCCTTAAGATCCTATATTCTTCTCAATACCTTGCCTACGCTAACTCAGCTGACACTGTGGTATCGAACATCGAATGTTTTGTTTCCACACCTTCAAGTACTTCTAGGAACTGCCTGTGGTTAAGTCCCCTAGCTCTGATAAGTTAGATCGCTGATGGGTCAATAACATGCTTGATATTCAATGCAGTTTTGTGCAAACTTTCCCTTGTAGAATTTATAGTTGGTATATTGTTCTTTAATTCATTTAAAAAAAAAAAAGCTGTTTTACTCAGTCAAAGCACTGGCCGCACAGGCTTCATCAGTTGTTACACTTGCCATCTTATTTCAAGTCAACTCAACACTTTCAACACAGTTCTTCATAGCACCGAATAAATACTGGCCGAGTTTATGTTTTTGACTAAATGTTTAGAAATATTGCAAACAAGCATAAGCTTCATTTGCTTTAACCTTTTTGAATGATATGCAGAGACAATGTTTCTTTAGCCTCTTCATAATAAGAGATAAGAAGATATTTAAAATTATTTTTTTTTTCCTTTATTATATGTTTAATCTGTGGGCACACCTAAATTTTGTAGGAGTTCGCGGCCGCATAAAACACTCTGGCCTAGTCGTGCGGTTTGCGCGCTGGACTGTCGTTCGGATTTATCAACTGTTGAGGGTTCAAACCCTGCCCGCTCCTATCCCCCGTCGTCCTGCGGGAGGTTTGGACTAGGAAGTAAACTATCTTCAACTCTGAAGGAACATCCGAAATATGTAAAACATAGATAGATAGATAGATAGATAGATAGATAGATAGATAGATAGATAGATATAGACAGATGGATAGAGGATATAATTTTGAAATATCCGGTTTGATATTGTGTTGATATTGTATTGATGTTGGGTTAGTTTCTCTAATAAAAGTATATTAAAAAAACAAAGAAATGAACAGTTCTGTTTTTCTGGTTTGTCTGTTTTTGTTTCCAAATTAAAGTTGATATCAACTTCACAGCCATTTCTTCACACATCCGTAAGAAAAATGTTCGAATTCAAAACATTGTTTCACTTTTGGTGCCAAGGTCTAAAGGCTTTCTTCTCTAAGATCTGAACCAAGAATGTAAACATAATGGACCTCATTCACCAATCGTAAACAAACAACATTTAGTCACGTGATAATATTGATGAAACTGTCACGTGAACAAACGTGAACGTGAACATTGTGCTTTAAAAATTAGATCGTAATTTGTATAGAAGAGATAGAGAATCACGTGGCTTAATGTCAAGAATAACACAAAAAAAAATAAACCGTATCTGCTACAAAGTTATTCTACAAATCGAGTAAATAGTAAAAAAAAAAAATTGTGAAAAAAAAAAGGGAATCAACACATATATATAAAATGAAATTCTGTTTTTCATGAGTTATCTTTGATCTTCGTTTGTTTTTCCTCTGTCAATGTCTAGAAGATGATTTTTTTTAAAAATGAATTATAATTTTATCCTTTAATTCATTTTTAAAGCAAACAATTTTATTTAGGCCAATTGGAAATATTGCTAATTGTTAGGTGTATGTAAATATGTGAAACACGTAACGTAATACCGGCACCTAATTTCTTTAAAGTTTTGACCCTAACAGTACCAGTAGAAGCAGTATTTGTTTGTTGCAATCGACAACATTATTCTTTTTATTTTAAATGTTTAAATCTGTTAACTTTAATGACTAAGACAAATAAGAAAAAGATGAAAACTAAATCACATACTGAAGATCTTGTCGAGTCAACAAATATATATTGCAGTATTAATTTATACGTCAATAAAGTTCTAGATAAAAAAAACAAAAAAAAAACCTACAAAAGTGAAACCCTTAAAATTGAGATTGTATTGTAGAATATATATAGCTCTATATTGCTTTTCGTTTCAATTTTGTTTTCTTTATTTCGCTAAGCTTATATTCTAGAATTGCAAACATTGATTCTATATGGGCTTTTAACAGCACTAACATCACGTTGTTTAATAACAATTAGCTTACATGTGGTCAAAGGGAGTTAATGCCATTTAAAATTTAGATTATCGAAATTTTTTTGTATTTTCCCTTGAATTTTTCCATTGAGTAAATGTTCGTTTGAAAAGTATTTGATCTCAACTAAAAATATAGGATCTATTCATTACTTTTTATATTGTTACGAGTCTCACTATCCAGGCTCTCTGCAAACTGCACCATACACCACCAACTTAAAGAACTTGACAACTCAGGGCTCCAAAGTAACGTAACAATTTAATGTCAATAAATAACAGCCAATACTTTACAATTGGCAACACGTACACTGTACAAATATCTCTCCGATAACAGCCGTACCGCCGTATCATCTCTTGCACTGGTCTCTCCGTTTCGTTCTGGGCTTGCACTGGGTTTAACAGTTCAGGACTGACTTCACATACTAGGCTCGTTGTGTCAGACTCGATCGCAAACCAAGATCAAGACGCCAGTCGTCTCAACTGTACTTGACAGTACTCCGCACTGAACCGTCGTAATGCTCCGTACAGAACCACACCGTTGAACTGTGCTGTAGTCGACCGTGTTCTGAGCCCTGTCGTGAATCTCCTCTCGTGAACGGTCTTGACTGTGACACCTCCGCTCTTTATATAGGGTACCTGCTGGCCTTCTAGAACCGGGCGAAACATCGCTCGACGTTTCTAGCTTCGTCACATGACTACATCCCTCGTGACGCTCCTGATCACTGTTCACCACGCGATTCATCCCGAAACCGTCATGTTGACACTCGTCTCGGCTGACCGTAATAACTCGTCACGGTTGACCGCTCGTCTAGCGCTGGCCTGGGGAGATTTGCGTCGGCTGACTACACACATATCACTACCCCCATCTGTGCCACCACCAGGTTTATAACAATATTATTGATTTACTAGCCAATTGGACACGTGCCCGCAGATCTTAGTTGTGGTATAACTGATTTAGTACATTTAATTTGTTTTAAACATGGCGAGATGTGCGTTTCTATTTTTACTGTCCCCATGAAAATAAAAGTTCACTATGAAAATGGGTTTACCCGTTTAAATGACACATTAATATGTAATATAAAACACAATGACAATGGGTTTACCTGAATTGTTAAAAACACATCATATAACAACGACGATACGAGAAATAGCCTATAGTCTGATTAATGAAATGACCACCCAGAGGAAAACTACAGAAAATGAAAATCCAGAGAAACGTTTGTTTTAGAAATGGGGGTCCAAACTTTACCAGTGTGAAAGAAAGAAAGTCCAACATTTTCAATGCCAACAGTTTGGACAATGTCAACATAGATGTGGCAATATTTTTGTATAAACTATCTAGAGCTAACATACAAATAAATAAATATTAGAGATATGAATGTAAACTGTTCACTAGGAAACTAGTATGGAATATGTACTTGAAAGCTAACTATGAAATTACTTCAAGACTACAACTAAATGAGAGATACAGAAGGAGAGTAGGCCTACAATCATACTATGTAAGATACTACATCCTAATAAGTGCTCCTACATTTCTAAAAAGTATATATAAATAGTACGACATATTAATAGAGAAAGGAGGAATATAAGAAAGGAAGAATAAATTATATGAAAAAGAAGAATGGCTTTTAAATATTAAATTGTAAATAAAATTATATACACACAAAGCAACAAGAAAACATCCAAGACAACTCAAGACTCCTAAAAAAAAATAATTTCTGCGGTGCTGGCCCTTGCGTAAAATACAAAGAGA